CAACAATGAATGAGTGGAAGCCCAAAATCTCTGTAAATGTTTATGAAAATTAATAAAATATAATTATAGAAAAAAAAATTAAAAAAAAAAGATTTTTCTCTACTTCTTTTTATCAATATATGAACATTCAGCAAATATGTCTCCTTTTCCTTTTTTGCACTATTAGTATGAGATGTGTTTTCCCTCGCTTCTTGAGGCACATTTTGGTAAGAAAGACTTGAAACATCTATCAAGGGAAAAATTCCCCCCCCTCCCCCTTTCCTTTTAATTTCTTACTCCTTTTGCCATTTTGGGAGTTTAGCATAAGCATTTGGGAGTCCACCAAATGATTAAGTATTTAATTCTGTCTTCTTGCCAACTGCTCTGCTAATTGCAAATTAGAAGTGCAAGAGGAGATGTAGACTGAGAAGGAAAATGAAGACCAAATGTCTCATTACTGGTATCCCTGGTTAAAACACCATAAATCTAGAGAAGAAATATTAAGCTTGCAATGCTGCTGTGGAGGCCTTGTGACATGGCCATGGATGAGCAAGGAGTTAACCCACTGAGAGTTTGCTTACAGGCAGCAGGTGCTGGGGAAGCACTGTGGCTCCACAGCACAGAGGTAAATGGCTGAGTCTGTGGTCTGGGAAGAGGAAATGTGTAGTAAGCTGAGACGTTCTTTAGTTACTGTCGTGGCGTTTAATCTTCCATTCTGCTTTGTTCCTGAAGGAATGTAAAAGAGGCTGATGAGATGTCCTTCGGGACTTTGACGAAACCACTGCATGTTGCTCACAGAAGTAGAAAAATTGCACCTCAGGGTGTAGCTGTCTCCCTCCTGGAGGCTCAGGACTGGAGGGTTCTGGTCCACCTGCACCCCTCTCACACCTGATCAGAGAAAGAAAGAGAGAAAAAAATAGTCACAAGTGATGGTCTCTATAATAATCTACAGAATCCTTGAAATGCCCCTGTAGATTAAGAAAAAGACAAAAAATAAGGAAGTCTTCACGAGCTCCTTTTCTTCTTTGCTCTCAACAGCACTGCAGCTACATAATCTCTCAAATTCCCCCCTGCAACAGACAAACTCACATAAAACCTGCACACACAGAAGTCCAAATAAAGTGCTCAACCACCTCTTCATGGTGGTTTGCCTTGTTGCCTGGGACACCTTCACTCTAAAGTGTATTCAACTGATTTCTGAGTGGTTAGGTGTCATGACTTAGTTCTGAAACTGCTCCTGTGGTTGCTAAGAATCAGCTCCACCTACACAGGCTGTTCAAACCGATTTGTGAGCTCCCTCAAGTGGCTCTGCAACAGGAAGCCCCATCTTTAGCTTCAATTTACCTAACAGTGAGATAGAGGGTGAGAGGGTGAGAGGAGAAAAAAGAAATTACTTAAAGAACATTTCCTAATATGCCTAAATGTTGTAAAGAGCAAGAGAGGATGTGTGAGAAGGGTAATAATGCCTTTCTCAAGAGAAGAAATTATAGACATGGGTTAATCCAAAGACATCCACATTCTTAAACCCCCCCCAAAAAAA